AAGATGACTTCTGTGTGAGGACAGCCAGTGGCTAGCCTTGCAAAGCATTTTTTTCCTTAATATTTTTTTCTTTTATTGTCATGTATCAAGAAATATAATATGCATGTTTTGTCATGTGTTTTGCAGTCAAGCAGGCACCTGCACCTAACACACCATGGATTTGAAATAGACTGAGGAAATTGTTTGTTCCATCTTCTTTGCAAATGCGCTCCTAATTTGTTGTCATGTTTTCTTTCACTGAATTATTTAGTAATAACTGAGAAATGCATAAGAAGTCTTATAAACACAGTGCTTCGGATACTAGAAGTGTGTAGGAATATTCCTTACACATATACCATAGCTTCTTTTTTTTTTCATTTTGCAGGCAGTTCTCTGAGTCAAGGGTTTTAAAGAATAGAAGCTAGAACACAACTAGTAATTTTCAAACTGAACCAAGCTGATATTAATAAAACTAATTGTATTTTCTTATGTAAGAATTCGAGATTAAGAAAACAGTGCTAAAAGGTAGCCATAAATAAAATCAAAATGTAATTAATGCCAACATGGGAAATTTATGAGATGCTCAGAGTTCTTTTTGTGAGATGCTCAGCGTTTAGTATTCCTCAACTGTTCATCTGCCATTTCCATACAAACAAGAAAAGATAGTTAGAAGGAATGAAAAGTTGATGGATTGTTCAGATAGAGTGGAACTTCCACGAGAAAGCAATGGTTCCAAGTCCAGAAAGACTTGCAAAGTTTTGTTTTTCCTCTTTCTATGTTATCATGCTTCCAAGGTGATTTTTATTTTCTAAATATTTGAAAATAATCAATTAAGAAAGTGGGACTTACTGCTTGTCTTCTTCTAATACGAGTATTAAGTAAAGCTGCATTGATTACACATCACTTTAAGCAAGTACAGAAGTAGAACTGAACGAAAGGTTGTGGCTTGTGATTTGGAGTTAGTTCTGTGAGTTATGAATTGCAGCTTCTCCTTTGGAAAACATGAACCACTTAGAGGAAAATATTTCTTCCATGTGCGTGCTCCATCATAAATTAGTTCATGATGAATCTCATTCTATGGCACAATTTATAAAACAGTGAATGGGATCTTCCTTGAAACCTCTTTTTTGAGGCAGTTGGTTATACTTATTAAAAATATAGATGTGATGGATTTTCTTTGTAGGTAGCACAGGTGCATTCATTTGCAAATTAATCTTAAGTCCACAGAATTCTCTCAGTACTCCTATCATTCCTAACAGTATTAGCTGTTGCAGTAGCTTACTTAGAGCAGGCAAGCTGCTCAACTTGTAGTAAGTCCTTAACGCAAAAAAACCCAACCCAAACCAAAACAAACAACCCACTAACCCAGAAACAAAAAAACACAATAAAAAAAACAACCAATGTTATATCTCCTTGTCAGAATCTGAGCACTTTTCCCTTTGTCTCTTTTTAAAGTTATACACTGTTAAAGATTTCTGTGTTTATTTCCTTGAATTTCTTTTGCCTTTCTCACTAGGTTATGATTTTTTTTTTCTCCTTTTGGACACTTATTGGTGGGTGTGTATCTGAATAGCCAGGTGTTTCCAATCACTTTGGGGTCCACATGACCCATTGTGTAAAACTGATCGTTTCCTCATTAGTCAATTTTGACTTACAGTAAAATCAGTATTTTTCTTGAAGATAGAGGTTACTAAGTCTCAATAGGTAGAACAAGGTGGTTCGTAGCACGTGACATTAAACTTCTGTATGAGTACCATCTCCCTAGAACATTTAAACATCAGCGTTGGCTTTGAGTCTGAAAAAAAAAAAAAAACCAAAAAATTCTTAGAAGGTTCTATTCATAGTAATCCAAGCTGATAGTATATGCAGACAGACAAAGCCTCTTAGGCTGAATGCAGTAATGCCGATGTTGTAATAAAGCCTTTGTATGCATTAAATGCATAAGTAAGTGAGGTGATATTCTGGTTGAAAGCCATTCATGAGATACGTTAATGAACAGGATACATTCAGAAGAAGAGTGGTTATTCTAGTCCTCCTGGTCCTTCTTTTCTTTTCTGAAAGAAGAATATATCTCCTTTTCCTTCCTCTTCCATCTCCAGAGGGGCTGCTGAGTTTCCTGGGGTGCTGTGAAGTTTCACTTTCATGTGAAAAGGTAAATTGGTTCACTGTCAAATTAAAATACATTTCAAATGAGCCCAGCTGTTTGGCAGTGGTGTTGGGAGAGGGAAGCAGGGGGGGAATTTGGGTAAGTTAGTCTCCAGCAGTTGTTAAGTAGCTAAACTTCAAAGAGAGATGTTTCCTCCTGTTCCCTCAAGCACTAGCTCACAGCTTTTAAAATGTGTCTATAAAGACTTTTTTTTTTAATAAATTCTGAAAAGGTATCCCAGAAACAAAAGATTGGCTGCTTAGTCCAGTTCTTTTACTGTAAAGCAAAAGGATGATAAAGTATATTCTAGAACTTTACTGCAAGCAGAAGGAAGGAAAGGAGTATTTTCTTTGACTTCCTATCCAAATAAAATACTTAGTATGTTTGAAAGATTTGGAAGTTTGACAGTCTTTTCTTGTGGACACTTTCGGCAGGTTGTATTGTAGTGCTTTTTGCACGTGGCAGAGGTTTGTTTTTTTGACACAAGCGCACACTGAGGAGCATCCTTCAGGTCTCAGTGTCATGATGACAACTAAAGAGAAATACAACTTTCCCCCCACTCCATCTCCAAACAGGGAATTACTCTAAAAATCTCAATACGATGTTTTAGATAGCACTACAAACACATTAATGAACAGACCATGTGGAGAAACAGTAAGAGGCTGTGCTTAATGTATTAGTTTGTTACCCATATCTGCACCCAAAGCTGTTTTAAGATTCCTTTTGCGTAATGGTAATACAAATCCTTGATAGCTGGAAATCAGTTATAGTCTGGACCAGCATAGCATTGTTCTAAAACATTAGATGGCAGTCACTGCTTTCAAACATGCCAGTAGTATTTTGTACCATCAGATAGACAGCTTGAGGTGACAAGAAGATAATTCCCAGTGATACTTTTGCAGTTATGGAAGGGGCATGTCATGAAACCACTATTATAACCTCACTGATGTATCGTGGAAGTAATATCTGTGCTTATTTATTCAGCTGTGTGTGGTTTTCATTGCTCAGAAAAGAACAAGACAAAAATCTAGGCCAAGGAAACAGAGTATTCTTTGGCTGTGCAGCCCAGTCCTGCTGTAATGGGGAAAATGGCAAATGTCTTCTAATGCTTTCTTGCTGCTACGTGTGGAAGATGAGGGGAAGGAAGGCAGGCTAATATGCTAGGCAGGCCCATAACATTTATTGGAATTGGAATAAAAACCATAATATACAATTCGCTGTTTCCATTCTGGTCCTCTCTTACTCTTGAGCAGTTGTTCAGATCCACCTAATGATGGGTCCAGAATGGATTTATGTAATCTGCTGTGGGCATGCTTTTTCTACAGAAACAGGGAGGAACATTTTCTTCCTGGTGAGCTGGAGTAAGAATAGGCAACTTCTCTCCTTTGCAGTAGTGAATGTAGAGTTCAACAGGTAGGCCAGAGGGCAGAATTTAAATTTGTGCAGTTTAGCAGTAAAGGGATCCTCTTCCAAAACTAATTATGGTCAGGAAGAAGATTTAGAAGATGGACGTTTGACTAGGGGAATTGAAGACACCTATGTTAAGTGAAGTAGAGATGCAAGTTCCTTTGTTACATCCCAATAACATTTTACCAGTGCCCTTCAAATGTTCATGATAGATGGTAGCTGAATCCCAGCAGTGCCTGTACTGAACTGAATGCAGCGGATGGCAAGAACAGCCAAGGAGCACAGTTTTATTGCTAGGTAGTGTTTCCAGATGACTTAATGAAGTCACAGCCTAATTAAGCCACATCCTTTGCATCTCTGGATGGCTGGGATAATAAAAGCAAGCTCTCAGTTTCATTCACATGCTGGTGTAATCTGACAGGTGCATTAAATACATGCCTAAAGAATGAAGATTGAAGGGAAAGATCAAGCTGCCATGACAAGAAGATGGAACCATGAAAAATATTTTAATTATTGCATTTTGGATCTGATTTATGATTTTGGGACATAATGAGCTGTGGCAGTGCTTGGAAACACTAATCCTGCTGGAGTTGAAGTGATACTTATTTACAAAGCAAGCTTTTCAATAAATATATAGTGTGGAAGTGAGAGAAAGGCACTATTGTTTGTAGCATTAGAAGTTTTATTTGGAGATGATCTAAGCTTAATTTGATCTATTGGTTACAAAACCTAGTGACTTATTTAGTTAATTATGATTGGGAAAGTATGATTTTGTTTACTCTTAGCAGAAGGGGCATCTTCATTCTAGATATTGTTTATTTTTTGATGAGTTTTAAAATAATTGTATTTACTTTTAACACATATCAGTTTCATACAAACTGAAATGACTGGTATATTCTTAGCAGCTGTTTGCATTATGATACTCGTTAAGATCAGTAGTGCAACATTTCTTACGAGTTCCTGCTTTTCAAAATACTACTTGTGTTAATGGTTCAATTTTATTAAGGTATAAATGTATTTAGTTCCTGTGGTTATCTCGGCAGTCTACTCCAAGTCTAAAATGAGTGCTTATGAAAAATATGGCAAGTGTTTACTTTGTGCACACTACTTCTAAATGTCTTGTGAATTAATTGTAATATCTAAATTTATTTGAACTTTAATAATGCTGTGGTTTTTGTTAATATTCTGTGGTGTGTGCTATCATGGTAAAACTACACAATATAATGATCCATGGTGTTCATCATTTGTAAAAATCGCTTGACAAACTGAATAAATTTGTTGTGCATATAATCTCACAGCTGTTTACAACTAATGCGGAATATGAGCAATATGTGACCTACTGGACCAAAGTCAAAGCATCATATGCTTAGAATTGTTCCCTGCTTTATTTATTTCCTTTCACAATGGCATGTTAATGTATAGAAATATAAAGAAATAGTTTTTCAGTCTGTTTTCTTTTCTTCAACAGGACACAACAAGCATAGAAAAAATGTCAAACTGTTGTGAAGATATGTAAGTGCTGTAAACTTTCCACATTTATTTGCTGAAGGAGTAGCTGCTTGTTTAATTGTGTGAGAGGGGCGAGGAACTGAAGGCACTGTTTAAATTATTTTGTATGTTACTGTACCCAGTGATTCCTATCTATTTCAGTAGCTCTTAATTCTATAATAATTAGTTTTATACAAAGCAGACACACATTATTCTTTTTCCTTCCATACTAGTAGATGAATGAAATTGTATTTTCTTACAAAAATAAGGATGAAAAACCACTTGCTTGACATACATTTCATTGATTCTGAAGTTCTCCTTTGCTTCAAAAAATTACCTTTAGCTGATTGATGACACAGATAATTTCTGTTTTCTGAAGCTGAGTTTCAGCTGCATGCAATAGTGAAAAACCGCCAGTAATAGATCCCTAGTCAATGTGTTTTGTTTTAGCTGACTGAAGTGCACCATGGGAGTGCTGTCTTTTACTAATAATGCTGTCTTCTGTAGATCGAGGCCTCGAAAGCCATGGCAGCAGACCTTCTCAGAAGTTTTTGGCACTCGCTGGAAGATCCTGTGGTTTATTCCTTTCAGACAGAGGCAACCACTGCGAGTTCCCTACCACTTTGCCAATCACGTCTAAACAGATGGATGGTGGGCACAGATGGGTCCTCCATGCTGGAAGTGCATTACAGGTTTTATGATGATAGGACTATGACAGTCTTCAACTCAATTAAAAACTACCCACCAATTGTAGTCATCACAGTGTGTCCCAAGCTTTATTCTAATTGTGGTCTTGATTCTGGTCTGAAATTAATACATTTTGTATGTTTACATTTAGATATATTCACTTTCAAATTAGCTTTCCAAATGGATTTCATTTGTCTTTGAAGTTAATAGTAAAAACAAATGACTGGAATGCAGTCTTATGCTATTTGTTTGATAATAATGACTCTTTCTTTTCTTTTTTTTCCTCTGGTAGGAAACACTGAAGTTTACATCGATTGTTAGCTTTCCCACTAAGTGTCTTAATTTTTCTCTTTTACTGTTTTTATCTGTAGGTCTTTTAGATAATATTGAGGTCTTTCTTTCTGCTGCATGTGTTTTAAATTCTCCTATACTGCCATTTATTTGTGATGCATGAATTTAACCATGCAGCACTGCACTATAAAAGGTAGCATTTAAAACAAGCAGATGTTTTCCTAAACTTTTGTCTGAGAAGTTATATAAATACATGTATATGTTTATATAGAGAGATCTTACATTTTACAGTCATCCTTCTGAATAGATATAGTCTCAGTGGAAAATATTAACGTATTTATGTCAGCAAAAACTATGAAAAGCCACAGGGTAAAATATGCAGATGCAAAGCATGTTTTCCCTAATACTCCAAGGACTTTGCAATAATTCAACAACAACAACAACAAATTGTATGGTACATATACAAGAATGATTACTTTTTAAAAATGCGTATTTAATTTGTTAGCATAACGTACTATAAGAAATAGTGTATTGTCATTAGAGTAACAAACATTTTACATTTTCTCTTCCTTAGTCACATGTAGTTGGAATTGATTTAGGTGTTTATAAATGGGAAGTATTTGTGAAAATATTTAAAAATATTTATATAGAGATACAGATATTTGCTACTAAGAGAAATAACGTACTATACTGATTATGATAGCTTGTTTGGGGCCCTTTATTTACGGAAGTAATTAGTCAAAGAAAGCATCATTTACATTGTGGTGAAATGACAATGATGCCCAAAACTGGCTTGACTTTTCTGTATCTGGAAGAAGATACGTAATTTATGATAGCCTTGTATATCTGTACAAATGCTAGCATGAGGTACTGGTGATTTTTGAAAGTTCCGTGAATTTTCATGGGAGATTCAAAGCTGCAATGCCTGTAGTGTTTGTTGTCTAGACTAACAGGATCAGGATCCACCTTAAATTAATCACAAATGAATCACGTTAGGGTAATATGATAATGGCATCGAGTGCACCCTCAGCAAGTTTGCAGATGACACCAAGCTGAGCAGTGTGGTTTATACATTGGAAGGAAGGAAAGCCATTCAGAAGGACCTGGACAGGCTGGAGAAGTGGGCCTGTGAAAACCTAATGAGGGACAACAAGGCCAAGTGCAAGGTGCTGCACTTGGGTTGGGGCAATCCCAGGCATTTATACAAACTGCAGGAAGATATCCTTGAGAGCAGCCCTGTGGAGAAGGACTGGTGAGTGAGAAGCTGGACACAAGCCAGCAGTGTGTGCTTGCAGCCCATAAGGCCAACTGTGTTCTGGGCTGCATTAAACAAGGGGTGTCCAGTAGGGAGAGGGAGGTGATTGTCTCTTTCTACTCTGTTCTTGTGAGGCCCCATCTGGAGTACTGTGTCCAGGCCTGGGGCCCCCGGCGCAAGAAAGATGCAGAGCTCTTGGAGTGGGTCCAGAGGAGGGCCACTAAGATGATCAGAGGGCTGGAACACCTCTCCTATGAGGAAAGGTTGAGGGAACTGGGCTTGTTTAGCTTGGAGAAGAGAAGGGTCTGGGGAGAGCCTTCATTGTGGCCTTCCAGTACTTGAAGGGAGCATATAAACAGGACGGGGAATGGCTGTTTACAAGGGCGGATAGTGATAGGACAAGGGGGAATGGTCTTAAACTGAGACAGGGGAGGTTTAGGTTAGATATTAGGAGGCAGGTTTTCACTCAGAGGGTGGTGACACACTGCAGCAGGATGCCCAAGGAGGTTGTGGATGCCCCATCCCATTCAAGGCCAGGCTGGATGTGGCTCTGGGCAAGCTGGTCTGGTGGTTGGTGACCCTGCACATAGCAGGGGGTTGAGACTAGATGATCATGCGGTCTTTTTCAACCCAGGCCATTCTGTGATCCTGTGATTTTATGATTAAATGACAGCCAAGTGATGGTAATTTTTAAAGGCACAAATTCAGAGTATACAGCATGTAATCTGAATTTGCAAACAGTTTGTTGAAAGTGAAGGGCTAAATTTGTCTTGAGTGCTATTCATAATGAATTTTTAGATCTGCTCTTTAAAATGTTAATACAGTCACTGCCTATGGTGGATGTTCCTTTACTGAATTAACAGTTTAGATCATTGAAATTGCTAAAAGAATCATCTTAAAATACCTGGAATTTTAACCTTTTTCTGAGCTTTTAACTAACTTCTCTCTTGAAAAATAAATACAATACTTTCTTCTTTTAAATTTTGAGCCAAATATTCAACAGTTCTCTGTCGCTGCATTTATAGATGTGACTTCAGAATTTAAGATCGTAATTGGCAGCAGCCCATAAACAAAGGTGAGCTTGAGGAAAGTGGATGAAAAGGCTAGACTAGCACTTGAAATTAAAAAGAATATGTGTATTTATTATAAAGTAATGGTAAGTAAAATAAAAATATATAAAAAAATTAAAAATTAAAAAAATAAGTAAAGTAATTATAAAGTATTCACTTTTCTTTGGAAGGACTTCAATTACTCTAGTCTCTGTAAAACACTTAGGGGAATAATAGCAGTCAGTTTTGGTTTATGTGCCAATTTTTAGATGAGAAAAACTCTGTTTTTAAAAGTTTTTCATGCTAATCAATTTTCATAGCAGGTCATTACACTTTGATGCTTGTTAAGACAGAGGGTCAAGAATATAAGTATTCGTGATACATTTGTGATGGGGCATATATTTTATTCCTTCTGTTTTCTGATATAACTCAGTTAACTGTACATAGAGAACCAATTTTATAAATACAGAATCCTCTCAACTCTGTGAACGTCAGTTAAATTTTTTTCACATGATATATACAATGAAATGATGAGACCAGTGAATGTTACCTGTTTTATGGGGATAAAAGTTCAACTCTGTTCCAGTATTTTCAAAAAAGAGGAAATATGAAACAGAAAAAAATCTGTCCTGATAAGGCACAGACTGGGGATAGACATGCTCTGAGTGGATATCAGGGCATGCATATAAACATCCTTGCACTTTTTCTCATGGTTTACAGTTAATGATGATTAATTTTTAGGCTTGAAACATGCATTTGGTCTCTGAGATTGAGTAGTTATTTTCAGACTGTAGTCAGCCTAGCTAATGCTCAAGTGTGAAGTAGAGCCTTTCCTCTCTTATTCTCGAAGTGCCCTCTTTTGGCCATATTAAGCAATGGCGGTTGACTCTTGGCCTGAAGCAAGGATGGTGTGCAGCTGTTAATTCTTCATTTCTGCACAGTGGTTATCTGGAGCAATAATTGCATGATTGGGGTGTGTGTCTGTGCCAGTGGAAAGGTGAACATCGCAAGACAAGACTGCATCTTAAATAGACACAGTCTTGGGCCCACATCAAATGTTGTGTAGCATATGCAACTTCTCTAGAAAATTTTCAGAATCGGTTGACTTTTCTTTCAAACAATAAATAATAAATTAAAAATTGCATTCTAAAGCAGTTAATCAAATTATTCACAAAACAGTGGAAGAGAAGATAGAACCAAATGCTTTGATTTTTTAGCAAAGCTTACTGAGTTGAGTGAAGTTGAAAAGAGCAAGTATTTGCAGTTTGAGTACCCATGCCATCATTATACAAGTCTTCTAATGTTCATTTTACAGTTGTCTAGTTTTATTCAACAAATTATGCTTTTTAAAAACAATGAAAACATTATGTTTTATTCCACCAGGCCACTCTACGCCAATATAAGGAATGCAGGGGACAAAGACAAGATTTCAGTAGTACTATGAAAGAGAGTCTTTTTCATCTTTGCAGTCAGATGAAACAAATGATAATAAGTTGGGTTTCTGGTAACCTGATATTGTAATTAACATAAAACACCTTTTTGTAGCACATTATATACTATATTTTGCCAGCCTTCCTACCAGCAGGACATCACCTGTAGCAGACTGCCAATGTCTCTTGTATTTGAAGTTGCTGACACTTTGACATATTGTTTAACTTTGCCATCTCCAATCTTTGTCTTCACTATGGACTTAATTTTGATGCTGCTAAAAATAAGAAGGTGATGTAGCCTTATTGGAACAATATTATCATAAAGACAAAGCTTAGTACTGTTAACTGACTCTTCTCAATTTTCCAACTAGACATATCATTACATTCCTTAAAAGTGTTTTGTTTGCTACAGTCCTGATTTTTTTGGACAAAGAATGTTGCTTAATCTATAGATATTCCAATCAACAGTACTTGATAGTACTTCTAGTAGTAGTACTAGAATAAAAACTAAATGTACTTCCATGGTATGTGCCTCTGAAGACTGAGTTGTGTAAAACAGTATGGTTATTCATTAGTACCACCTTCAATATTAGTTCTCATTCAATATTAGCTCTAAGTTTTTATATGTATGCAAGAATAATAAATTGATTTTTTTAGCACCATGTGTAAAAAATACATTTTCAGCCATAGTCGTGCAACTGGTTGAAAGTTAACTGTCTGAATACAAAGGTGCTACTCCGTTTTTTTCATTTCAAGATACTACTAGATTTTCTTCAGCAGTGAAAACTCAAATCTCTTGTTAAAGTTCAGAGACAAAGATTTGAACATAATGAAGATATGCAACTGAACGTGGTACTTGTCCAGCAATGCTAATACATAGAAAGAATGCTAGAAAGGTTAGTACGGATGCGTATATCACAAGCCCCGCATATAAACTTTTCATGTTTATTCCTCTTCGGTCACATAATTCCCCCTCAGAGAAAACTTTGTTTTTTCCTGCCCTCTATATATGTTGCTACTAGGTATACCAAATAATTGCATTTGCTAGCTTGTAAATATTTCAAATCAGCTGTGGGCACTTGGCACAGGTTTTCAAGTCCTAGTTAGGCTTCAGCTTAGTATGCTGCGACTCTCAGAGGTAGAGACTCATTTTACCACATTTTGAGATTATCCATCAATGTCTCTCAGATTCTGTGGTATGCTACCTGGTGTGAAGTTGTGAAGAACCTTCTAAAAATGACATCCCATATCTCCAGAGGCTTAATTTTCACTTTGTCTTAAGCAGGAGTCTTGCTTTAGTTTGGGTAAGTTAGTTTTCCTGTTTAAAACTAAATCCTAACTTAGACCTAACAGCATTGAATTGTTATGTTCGAAAACCAGAAAGTTAAATTTAAAAATAACCACAATTTGGCTAAAGATGCAGGTAGTTTTTCCAATAAAATCAGGATGATAATGATTTCTCATTTTGTTTGGACCTTTTAGAAGCATTTGCATGATGTAGGAAGAAATTATCCTTGGGAGAAATTCTCCTTAAAATTTCTATTAGAAACCAGACCTTTTTAGGCCTGGTTGTCTCATTTACCCATTGCATTGTAGTGAATTTAGTACTACGTGAAAATTTCTTCTTTGAATGACTTCTGTACGTTCATCTGCCCTCATTTTCAGCTTTGATAGTTCTTTTCATAGCTTCCTGCAGCGCATATCAGCATAGACTAGTTCTACTTAAAGCCACACTCATATTGAACAGAATAGATGCTCTGGTAGAGTAACTTGGGCAGTCATGGAAATATAAATTGACACGTCCCTACTTGGTATGCTGTTTTTATCAGAAAAGAAACACCTTTGTTACTGCTACACAATATATCAGGCATGTCATTTTTCTACTAACTTTTACTTTTGTGATTTTTTAAGGTTAATAGCTTCAATAGCAAAGACTGCATAAAATATACTGAGAGTTGCCTCCTGCATTACTAAAGATAAAAGTAATTAATTCTTGTACACTAATGAATCTATATCTAAATTAGTAAAAATATCAGGACTTCAAAATGGATTGAGTCATAGAAGGGCTGCTTGAGTTTTCTTTTGGAATGAATCAGCACTTACAAATACAGTGTTCACTCAAGGTCATGCCTCCTGAATACTTCCAAATGTGTTGTTCTTCAAAAGATTTTTATGCTACTTTCTTAGGGATAGGGCATTTGACCATCAAGATTCATTCATGAACTTGCATCTGTGAGCTGTGTTCAGCCTAGGACTTCC